CGCGGCCGAGCTGCCGCCGTGCCGCCGCCGCCTGCCTTGTGCGGGTCCATCGGCCCCCATCTCCTTCCCCGGGCCCTCCCCGGCCCTGTCCCCGGCCTCGCCCCCCACCGCCCCGTCGCCACCACCGTCCCTGTCCGTTGCCCAGCCCCACCCTCCGGGCCCCCGGCCCCAGCCCTGGTCCCCAGCCCCTCCTCGCGCTGCACCTTCCCCGAGACACAGCGGCCTCCTGCCGGTGCCTCCCCCTGCTGGGGAGGAGGCCTCCCCCGACCCCCCCCCCCCCCCAGCCCCTGAAGCGCAAGCCAGGTCAGCTCTCCGAGCAGCGGGTTTGAGCCCCAGGCTGAACCCCCAGCGAGCTCACCCCTCCCTGAGAAAGAGCCTCAGACCTCCTTCTCAGCGGTCCGCTTCCACTTTCTCTTGAATGGTTCTCCTTTCTCTGTTCCCTTTGTACTGGGAATTGAACCCAGGGCCTTCACACTGAGCTGTATCCCTCCCCTTATTTTTTATTTTGGGACAAGCTCTCACTAAGTTGCCCAGGCTGGGCTCAAACTTTCAATCCTCCTGCCTCAGCCTCCCAGAGTGCTGGCACGGCCGTGTGCACCACCTCACTCAGCCATTTTCACATTTTTCATCTTTACCTTGAAACACTCTCTGTCGTTTATTCACGCTGCGCCCCTTTGCTTCAATGTCTAGGGACCGTCCAGTCACTCGTGCCCCTACCACGGCCCCACCTCCTTCTGAGCTGCCTAGTCCTGGCTCTGGAGTTCTGTGGGTGCCCTCTCGGCTGCTCTGGAGCAAGTCTGGCCCCCAGGTGAGCTGAGGCAGGAGGAAGCGGCAGGCGACAGAGCCAGGACCACACAGGGTGTCGATGTGGGGGCCTCAGGGACACAAGCATAGCCCCGTGGCAGTGGCGTGGTCAGGTCCCGGCGGTTTGGGCCAGACAGAAGGCGCGCTCAAGGGCTGGGACAAGGTGACCTCAGCTGGCCGGATCGCACCTGGCCTCTCAGGTGACACTGCAGGTGCGGGCACATCCCAGAGCCAGGAGCCAAGGTGCAGCACACGTGACGCTAATGGCTGTATCTATTTACATCTTCCTGAGCAACTGCAGGAAAAACTGCCGGGGTCTCTGGGGGCAGTCACAGCGGCGACAGCTGCGGCCGGCTGCAGCCCTGTCAGCCAGATCCACGCTTGTGTCCTGCAGTCTTCAGCTGATCTGAAGCATTCGGTTGTTTCTGCTGCCCCCAGCTCCCGATGCAGCTGTGGTCCCTGCTGATGGGACAGCCCCAGAGCAGTGAGGTGTCCCAGTGTGGGCTGCTAATGTGGTTGGGGGACACGCAGGGGCCCGTGCCACACGAGGACAGCGGGCAGCCTCAGCAGAGGCCACACCAGAGAAGCCGGCGTGAGTCAGGCACTGGGACCATGTCCTGACACCCCGTCCAGAACACAACCACACGAGGGGCTGCCCAGCTCCAGCCAGCCACCCCGACGCCACCTCACAGAAGCCACCAACGCGGGGGACCTGCCGTGCAGCAGTGGGCCCCGTGTGGGTGCCCAGAGGTGGCAGCAGGGTTAGAAAGGACGTGACTCCCTGTCCTCTGTCCCACACCAGCCCTGAGCACAGCTTCCGTATGAAGTGGCGTCTTGTGGCACAGCCGGGACCAGGTGCAGAGCTCTGTGCCCCGGCTCTGCCTCCCCCACCGCATGCTCTCTGCAGCAAACCCTGGCACCATCCTGAGCCTGGAGCCGGCGCTTAGGTCTCAAGGAGGCTGCATGGCCGCTGCCCCTCAGGCTGGTGGGTGAGCGTGCACAGGGCCTGGGGTCTGTGAGAGGCACCAGCTCCTTGCTCCCTGCTTTCCCGCCATCTTCTCATGCCCTCGGGGGCTTCATGTCTCCTGGGTGGTTGGGGCTACATCCTCCACATCCTGTCCCCAGCCAGGCGGCCATGAGGTCATCATGCCTTAGACACTCACCATGCTCAGACTGAGCCAAGGACACAGGCCGTGCCGAGATGGCTGCACCTCTGAAGGAGGAGGAGGCGAGCGGGGAGCCTTCGACCATGTTGGCGACAGTCGAGGCCGTGAGAAGGTGGACAGAGTGAGCTCCAAGGGCGTGGCAGGCAGAAGAGGCTGTCCAAAGGAAGCCACTCTGCGTGATGGCAGCCCTGGGGCACTGGGGACCCGCTGACGTGGAGGCTGCAAGAGCGGGGCGGGAGCAGGGGTGAATGAACACAGCACAGAGGAGCTCAGGCATGAGATGACTCCGTGTGACGCCACGGTGGTGGACACGTGGCAGTGCACACTTGCTCACACCCACACGCGTACGACAGAGAGTGGCCCTGACGTGCACAGTGGGCTCGAGCAGTGCTGCCCTGGTCCTCTCCTCCCCATCCTCCAAGTTGTCACGTAGACTGGCCCTCAGGTCAGGCATGTACCAGACCACCCTGACCATCCCGTCCTCCCATGCTTGCATGAATTCCTGCACAATAAAAAGCTGCAGAAGCTCTGTCAGGGGCTGTCCTCATGGGACTCTCGTGCTGAGGGGTCTCGGTGGAGGTCAGCCCCTCTGGCCTTCCTGGAGTTTCAGTCGGCTGTGGTCTCCGAGCGATCTTCATCCTTTGCACGGTGCCGTGGAACATGGGACGACCAAGCTTTTCAGACAGATGAAAGATAGAACTCCAGACATCAAAAACTTCACATCCTCACGGAAATTAAAACTTCCGCTGTCACCTTACAGGCACCAGAATGGCTGCTGTCAAAAAAAAAAAGACAGATGTTAGTAAGGACACAGAGGCCCTGGAGCCAGGCCACGCGGCTGGGAGGGCTGCACAGAGTGGCCGCAGTGGAAGGTTAGGGTTACGTGGACAGGCGTGCACACACCCGGTTCCGGCAGCACCGTTCAAGCGCCCGCATGTGGGAGGGTGGATGAGGGACGTGCAGTCCATCAGCACAGGGCTGTGACTCAGCCAGCAGGGACCCAAGGACACGAGCTGGACGAAAGCCAGCAGCGCCACAGATGTCCACAGACAGAAGCAGGGCCGCGGCTGGGCTGGGGAGCGGCCCCGTCCATCGCCGCAGGGTTGGGGCCTGGGGCGACGAAAGCCCCTGGCGTGGCTGCTGGGATGAGAGGGCTCGGCTCCGGCCTGACCTGTGCTCTGACCGTGGGGAGGACAGATCCGCGCCCGTGCACGGGGAGCGGCCGGGACCTCCCAGCACTGAGCAGAGTCCCAAAGTCCTGGGCTCCAGGGAAGGAATCCGCAGGACGCCCAGGGCGCCGGGCAGCACACGCTGCCCCCTGGTGGTGACAGCCAGCGCCCCCCCCGTGCAGAGGCCCAGAGCACAGCCAGGCGGTCCCCAGCGGGGGCTCAGCCCACCACTCCCACGAGGGGCGCCCTAGGCAGGGCTCAGAGCCCTTGACAAAGGGGACAGCAGGCACCCTGGGAAAACTGGAATCCCAGCACTCTGGAGGCTGAGGCAGAAAGATTGCCAGCCCGGGAACCTTAGTGACTTATAGAGACCCGGTCTCAAAACATAAAAAACCTAGGGATGTAGCTCACGTGAAGACCTTGGGTTCAATCCCCAGTACTAAAAACCTGAGAAAAAAGGGAAGGGAGGGATAGAGGGAGGGGCAGTGACTGAGGAGGGGTGTGTGTGTGTGTGTGTGTGTGTGTGTGTGTGTCTAGACCCAGACCCACACAGATCCTGGGGAGCAAAGGCAGCAGAGACCTCCGGGTCTGGGCTGGAGGTGAGGAAGGCCAGCCGGGCCAGCTGCGGGCGGGGACAGGACAGGAGGGCTCCCCCCGAGGAGCGGGGACCCCGCAATCTCTGGGCTCTAAATGTATACGCAACCGAGGCCACGCCACAGCAGAAGTAGCGCACAGCAGTTCTACCCTCCTCTCCAGCAGAAAGCACACCATCGCCCTGGGCGCAGCTGCAACCCATGTGTTCCCCAGGGCAGTGTTTGGGGGGCTTGGCTGGAGCCCCAGAGTGAGACCCCGAGGCCATCTCTCCAGCCCCCTCCCTGTCCTCCCTCCCTCGCCCCCCTTTCTCTGGGAGACCAGAGCTCCTCTTCCCAAGGCAGATCCCGGAATCTGCTTTTCCTCAAACCAGCCGTGAAACCCAAAATACAAGGCCAGCTCCCCTCTCTTCCTGTGAGGGGCGGCCACAGAGAAATCCTGACCCGCTCTGGCTGCTTGCCGCTCCTAAGACCCCGTTCCAGACGGGTCCTGCCCCGCTGCGGGAGGGAGGAGTCGAAGCGGACGGCCTTGCTGGGCCCCAGAGCACACCCTGCGTGCAGTCACCGTTCTGCACAGCTCGCGGAACCCAGGCTGGACGTGGCTGGTTCATCTGGCACTGTGGGTCTGTCATCCAAAGGCCCCTTGTCACATGAAACTGTGATCACATCTGTGTGCTGTGTTCTTCCTGGTCATACGGTGTCCCACGGCCTTTGGTGGTAGGCAGGGAAAGCTCAGCACCTGCTGCCCCGAAGTCTGGTCCCGACGTGGCCGCATGCGGAGGCAGGGTGTTCAGCAGTGCGTGGGGGAGAGGGCGTCAGTGTGGGGCCTCATCCACTAGGGCCTCGGCCTCGTGCGGAGGGAAGGGACCCGGCCTCAGAACTGGGGGCAGAGATGCTGTGACTGGAGCGCGTCCTGCAGAGGCCAGGAGTGAGTGGAGGCCACAGCAGCCATGGGAGGGTCCAGCCCACAGGGGCCCTGCAGCCTTCGGGGAGCCGCCCTTATGCCGGCAGGAGCTCGGGAAGCGTGCTCCTGGTGCACATGCATGCACACGCATTCTCATGCATGTAGACATGCACAGTGCTGAGGTACGGAGACCCTCAAGGTCCTCCCTGCTCCCAGGAAGGTGTGGGGCCGCCCTGCAGCTCTCTGCCTGTCAGGAGGCAGGCAGTGTCTCCGCCTGCATAGGCCCCTGGGACCCCTGCGGACAGAGGAGACCGGGCCCACCCTGCAGTCCTGAGCAGAGCACAGGTTCCTGGGCACTGCTGCTGAGGGGCGCAGACTCTGCAGCAGCTCAGCCCAGCCCCCGGGGCACGGGGGCACGAGCCACCCCAGGACAGCAGATGGCGTCACCCTGTGTGTGGGGTGGGGTCCAGCTACCCTGGGTCCTGGAGTCACTCCTGGGGCACCCTGCTTCTCCCAGAAGTGTCCTGGTCCTCTCCACAAAGGGCCCATTGAGGCAGCCCCCGGTAAACAGAGGCCCCACTGACCCAGAATCACTCAGGGGCAGGAGCGAGGCCAAGGGCTCAGGTGCATGGGGATCTGGGTTCAAGTCCCACAGCTCACACTTGGAAAACCGCTGCCTCTCAGACCTGACTCCCTCTCCGCAAAGGGGAGGGCTCTGTCCCCACAGCGGGCCTTGGGGTGAGCAGGGATGTGCAGCTGTCTGCAAACGCTGCCCCCCAGGGCTGCACAGGAGCCTCAGGACTGAGGTCACCGGGCGTGACAGGGGCCTGCCCGGCCCTCCTCCTCTCCCACCTCTACCCGCAGAGGGAGCAGCGGAGCTGTGCAAGCGTCACCCCCACCCAGCCAGTGCTGCCCTGGCCGCTCTGCGGACCCCAGAGCCTGCGGGCAGGGAGCCTGTCTTTGCTCCTTCCCAAACCCCTGGCCTGTCTGGTTGCACTCACTGATTTCCCTGTGCACACTCACACACACCTACACACACGCACACGTGCATGACAAGGACTGCACCGAGTTGTGCCTCCCTCGGGCTTGCAGGCTGGTGCTTTCCACTCCATGCGGGTGCGTGCCCCAGCTGCCAAGTGGCCTGCAGACAACGGCGGGTGAGCTCGCTCACTGCGGGAAGGCACAGGCCCTCCTGCCCTGCACACCAAGCCCCCCGCGCCCCACTTCCTTGCCACTGCGCCTTTGCCCAGGCCCAGGTGCTCTTCTGCTTCCGCCTCCTTGGGACCCGGAGACCAGGCCTTGCCTGGAGTGCGAATCCCTTCCTTCCTGCTGGGACCCCTGGGGGTTCACCCAGGAACTCAGGGAAGGTGCAGATTCAGAATCGATCAATGTGCGTCCCAGGGGATAAACCGAGGACAAAGAGCATGTCACTCAATGGCTCGGCAGAGCGTGCACCCCCACGCGGGTCCATCCTGAGCCACAGGAAGAGGCCAGGAAGTGAGAGGCTCCCTGCACACAGCGGTGCAGCTACCCTCGGTCACTTTGGGAGGAGCAGGAACTGAAAGCTAAAGACTAGAACGAAAAGCAAAAAGAGCACACGGGTGCACTGTGTCTCCCCAGGGTGCAAGCTGACGGCCCTGAGGCTGCTCCCCATGGGTACAGGATTCCGCAACCAGGTAAACAGAGGCAGGCGGTTTGGGCTCCAAGTGACCAAGGACTGGGCTGGACTAGAAGCAGAGACGCCACCGCCAGCTCATGCTGGTCTGAAGCAGGCGCAGATGGCCACGTGTGCAACCGCGTAGCTGAGTCCCCGCAGGCTGAGTGTGCACGCTGCTGCCCCAGGCCAGCTCCTGTTGCAGTCACAGAATGCCCAAGGCTGAGCACTTCATAAAGGAAAGAAGTTCACGGACTCACAGTTCCGGAGGCTGGACCTCTGCGCTCACTCAGCCCTGGGCAGCCGCTGGGCAGCCGCTGGGCAGCGTGTGAGACGAGCCTGTGGCTGCATCACAACACGGTGGAGAAACAGGGAGGTGAACAGCCACGTGCAGGGCAGGGCACACCGTGGGGTGCTCCACAGCACCTTGCTCTCCTGACAGAGGCCTGGGGTCCTGGAGAGCCACACTTATCCCTGCCCAGGGTCATGCCCCAGGGGCCCACGTGTCAGTCACTGTCCGATGGTGTAATGAAATCCCCAAGCAAACAACTTACAGGGAGGGAAGATCCCATCCCGACCACAGCGTGCACACACAAACACACACGCACACGCACACACACACACACACGCCTCCCCGCTCCACCAGCACAGAGCCAGGAAGCAACAGCCCAGCAGCGCCCAGCGCCCAGCACCCAGCGCCCAGCACCCAGCGCCCAGCACCCAGGCTTGGGGTCGCACAGGACTCTCCAGCTCGAGGGACCTGGAGATGTGTGTGGGGCTGGGGCAGGAAGTGCACACATCATCCTGGAGCCCCTGGGAGCCAGGAAGTGAGGACGCTCAGGGCCCACAGGGTGGGGCGTCAGAGGGCGCAGGGGGCAGGGAGAGGAGGAGCTGGCAGTGACCCAGCTGGAGTGTGGGACGGGGGCTCCAAGTGTAGGATCGGAGTGCACCGCACCAGTGAGGATAAGTAAGTGAGCAAGTGGAGCAGGCCCATCTCCAGAGCAGGAGGAGCCCGAGTCATCTACGTGGGAGCCCCCTCAGGAAGTGGGGTGCTGGCCGCTGCCGCAGCGCAGCCTGGAAAGGGCGTGGGGACCTCGCAGTGGGACACCTGACAGATGCCAGCCAGCAGGGACCGAGGTCAATGTCCATGGTGACCATCGGGGTCACAGCCTGCACCGGGAAGTCGTGGGTGGGAACGCGCTCTGCCTCTGTGGCCCTCACCCCAGTGCCGCCAGTCCCACGGCAGGGACTTCCTACAAAACACCCAGCCCGGCCTCCCCACGTCAAGCCAAATCTGAGAAATCATCTGGGTCTGGAGAATCATGGGGGGGCCACACGGGGCATGGGGCGGGCAGTGTCCTGGGACAGGAAGTGTAAAGTCAGAAAGGGAGTGAAGAAAGGGCACTAGCTGATGATGACGCCACTCCAGGGTCCCTTAGCAGAGGACAGAGGTGGGGGGGGACCCTGGAGGGCCCGGGAGGGGCAGGAGGGAACCGGGGTGTGGAGCGCTTGAGGGTCTGTGCCGATTCGCATCTTCCGTGTACATCTACCCTGCTCTCAGATTTGCTCAGAAACTTCCAGAGCCCCTCCCTGCAGACCCAGAGCAGGGAGGAGTCCCTCAAGGACCTTGGAGCAGGGAGGCGGAAGGCCGAGCCCCTGGGAGCCGTCCAGCCACCAGGCCTGAGCAGGGCCACAGGCGTCCTGCAAGACAAAGGGCAGCAGCAGGCCCCAGCCTCTAGGCCATCACGGGGAAGCTGTGCGCCAGCCTTCGCCTGGGACGGCATTGGGCAAATCTCTTGCTTCGCACTGCGCGGCTCCAATTTCAAACGCCAGGCCTGTCCTAGCCTCGTAAAATGAGCCGGCCACGTTTATGTGCTTGTTTTGCCTCCTGTTTTCTGAGACAGTCTGTACAAGAAAGGAACTAAGCATTCCTTCAGTTTGGTAGAAACAGTAAAACTATCTGTGGGGCAAGAATGCAGCCTGCGCGGTTTGGTTTGGTCTTTGGAGAGGCGTCGTCTTAGTACTTCCAACCTACTCGAGTCTCTGTGTCTTCCAGCGCCAAAGCCTCAGTGCATTTTCTGAATCACGAGGGGCTGGGAACTTGTAAAGAAACGACATTTACACCGCTGGGTCTCCAGCTCTCTGCACCTGGCTGAGGGAGGCTGAGGCAGCACCGGGCAGCGTGGAGGAGCCGGCTGTGTCCCTGGACTCTTCCTCCTCCGTGAAGCCACGAGGGTGAGTCACAGGCTCAGCGGCGACTTCACCTCCTGTCCTCACCTCTGAACACCAGAGATTCGGTTCCCACCTGACAGCCCCCAGCCACGCACAGCCGCTGCAGCCAACTGTGGTATTTTACATCTCATTTTTGGGAAAGTATGTCATCTAGGCTTCAGGTCTGTGTGTGGAAGAAAGGTTCACAGTACCCCACCGATCTGTAACCTGCTCGCTTGCACATTTTTCTCTGCCACTGCCCTCAGGGCTTCCAGGTCTGAGAGCCTTTGCGCAGTCTGGCTTCCTTCTGAGCATGCGTCCCGTCCTCCTGGCATCCTCTCTGACCCAGCGGTCTCACAGCACAGGGACGCTGGCTGGACGCAGCTGCACCGCCACCAAGGCCCTTCCCCGCCGCTGCGTAAAACAGACAGAACCAATAGGCAGAGGGGCCACTGCACACCAGGCCCCACAGGGTAGGCCTGAGCTCTCTGCGTCCAGGCAGCTGGGAGCTAGTGCAGCCCTCAGAAAGGCAGGAGACAGAGGCACTGAACTGCAAAGCAAACCCTCACTGAGACGGTCACGGAGTAAGGGGAAGGTAATCTGCTACATAGTAAGGAGCGGCCTTTTCCAAAAGGAGGCGGGATCAGAACACACAATGAATGTGCATTTTAAAAATTTGTTGCAGTAAAGCGCCATTGCCATCAGTCCCCCTCCAACCGCTGCCCTCGCAGGGCATGTGTTCCCCGTCCTTCTCGCCCCTGTCGGAAGCCGCTCTGGAGTCCTCTTTCCTGAATGTGTCTACCAGGTGTGATGAAAAACACGGCAAACACCACTGCCCAGTGCTGCCCGCTGGGAAGGCAGCTCAAAAACACGAGGCTGCCTCCTCCGCCGCCTCGCTCACTGAACCAGCACCATGCGACTTCTGGCTCCCCCAAAGTCAAAAGGACCTCGAAGAGAGGGCTGGGATTTAGCTCAGCGGCACAGCGCCTACCTGGCAAGCGGGAGGTCATGAGTTCGATTTCCGGTACTGGAAAAAAACCAACCAAACAAACAAACAAAATGACCTCGACGGTCAACATTTCTAACCAATTCAGGACATTAAAGTAGACACAGTAGCACAACTAAAGGCGCTCAGGAAGGGGTGAGCTGCTTCCCAAAGTGAGATCCTGAGGGGAGTGTGGCTATGCGTCTTTCACTGTAATACATTTTTAAAATGTAAACATTCGCCATGTTTGCGGATCACACCTCAGCTGTTCACCAGACCCTCCGGCAAAACTCCAGGTCTACAGTGGCAAAGCGTTCACAAGAGCACAGCCTCAGGAGCCGGGCGTGGTGGCGCACTCCTGGAATCCCAGCACTCCCGAGGCTGAGGCAGGAGGGTCACCGTGAGTTCAAGGCCAGCCTGAACTCCACAGCAAGACCCTGACTCAAAATAAACAACAACAAAAAGGAATACAGCCTGAGCACGTCATGGCAATTTTTGGACTGAATCAGAGATTGGCGGGATTTGGCTGAGGGTGGGGTGGCTGGCTCTGAGCGGCCGCCTGCCTCCAACCTGCACTCTTAACTGAGGGACCCCGATGTGGGCTGCAGCTGGCCAGAGATGGTAAAGATGGGTGCAGTTTGCCCATCCACGTTCCAGGGCACCAGATTCATCCCGGACGGACCAGGAACTGGACTGCGTCTCACACCCCGCGCTGCGCCCACCTACCTGCCTTTGGTGACTCACCTCACCCGGCCTGGCAGCAAGCATTCGCCCGAGCGACCCAGGTGACCTGCTTCACACTCGGTCCTTCCTCCTGACAGGGCCCCCCTTTGTGAGCCGAGCTTCGTGTGGCTTTGGGTGCCCCAAAGGGATCCTGGCAGGGTGCGCTCACGCCTGCAGGGCTGCTCGGCACGGTGCACCGCAGGCCCAGGCCTTTCCCCTGATATCCTGAGCCCACGGCTGACCCCGCACCACCCCACGGGTAGGGTCGGGCCGCTCTGGTCTTGGCCCTCGGAGGGCCTCCTCTCTCATTGTTCGGTCTCCTGGAATTTTCTTCCTGTCTTCTGCATTGGGAAATAGAAAATGCAGGGCGTGGTCCTCACCTCTGCCCTTCGCCCTGGGAGCCCCGTGGGCAAAAGTAGCTCTCCTCTTTGGGGATGCACCCTCCTGCCTCAGTCCCACCCAGGCATGGGCTGGTGCTGCTGGGTTATTTATGCCACAACTACATCTGTCAAACCTGCACTGTCCACTCGCCTCTGTATCATTTCCCTTGTTATCGATACTGTTCTCCTGTATCAACGGAGGCACACCTAAACTGCACCACATCTATTTTTCAAGCTAATTCTGAATTCCTGCTCAACTCTTGTGTCGCGGGCCTGAGACCCAGGCACTGCCACAGGGGAGCACAGGAGGTGGGTGTGCACCTCAGGGCACTGACCCCAAGCTCCCGAGGGTTGAGTTCTTCTGACCAGAAATCGCCCCAGTTACTCCCGGAAGCCTGGGCTTGGAGATAGATAGGCCCATGCAGGCCCTGCCACGGGCCCTGGCGATTCCCCCGCGGGAGTGGAAGGGGCGCTCTCTGCCTCCCTCTGCTCACACCGCCCTGCAGCCCCACCACCCCGGCAAAAGGCCCCAAACCCCTTGGACTCCCACGGAGGTCCTGTTTGATTTTTGTTGCCCTTATCTCCCCTCAGGGCTTCCCCACATCTGCAGACACCTGGCCCCAGGGTTTGGGAGACTGCAGCCACTGAACGCTCACTCCCTCTCTTCTGCCACCGGAAAAGCTGCCACAGCTTGAGAACCTCAAAGGCTAGGACGGCGGGCACCCACAGCTGGGTGAAGGGGTCCCTGAGACCAACCCAGACTGGGTGAGCCATTGCTACCATCAGCACAAGCGTGTACACAGACTCATGTACACACACTTGTATATACATGCACACACACGTGGCCCCCACACCCTTCAGGGCCTCTTCCAAGTCCAACAGGCAAAAGGAGACCCATGGGGCAGAGAGACCTGTGCGCCCCAGGAAAGCCAAGGCACTCACCTGAATATACTTTAAAACAATTGGAGTTACAGTGCCAGAGGCGTCTCAGTCTCCCACTCTGGCCAGGGTGCAAGCCCCCCTGGGCCTCCACTTTTACTGAGGTTCACCGGTGCCCTGGTCCTGCTGTGCACCCACAGTGGGTGCACTCTCTGCCGGGGCTGGACCTGGGCACCTGGCTGGGATGGAAGGCGGCAGCAGGGAGCAGGCGCTTCCGAGGAGCAGCCCTCCCCCCAGCTGGTGCCGGGCTCAGCGCCTGAGGCCATGCATTCCCTGTGTGGAGTCATTGCTGAAAGCAGCCACAAAGCACAGAGTCACTGCTTAAAAATTCAGAAAATGTGGACAAACCAAGGAACACTGACTCACCAGCAGGCACCGGCAGGCACCATTGTGGTGAAAGGCGGCCGTTGTCCCTCAGCGGCTCTGCATGCCTGAGGGTCGCTCGGGCACCTCGCGGTGCACACTGCCACCGCCCGTCCAAACACCACGGCTCCCGAACGGGCACGGCTGCGCGTCCAAAGCACGGCCGCCACATTGGCAAGGGCTGTGTGGCCTCGAGCTGGGTGCATTAACCAGCTGCTTCCCCACAAGCCACCTGCTATTGGAAGTTCACCTCCCTGCGGCTTTCCTTAAGCCTTGGTCTCTGAGCACCTTCTAAACCACTCCCTGGAAAGGGCAGCTTCCTCAGCAAGGTCGTCCCTCTGCCAGCCACAGGGAGCCAAGCCACCATAGGTGGCCAAGTCACTGTGAGAGCCCCTCGCTTGGTGTTGTTTTGTTTTGTTTTTGCAGTGCCAGGAATTGGACTCAGGGGTGCTCTACCACTGAGTTACCTCTACAGCCCTTTTTGCTCTTTTATTTTGAGACAGGTTCTCGCTAAGTTGCTCAGGCTGAGCTCAACCTTATAATCCTCCTGTCTCAGCCTCCTAAATAGTCGAGATAATAGATGTACACCACCACACTCTGCTAAGTTGTACATCTTTGAGGATTTTTTGTTAGTTGGAACATTCCTGAGATTACCAATGACCTCCTGGCTCCTGGTCTGGCCTGTAGTCATTCAGGTAAACGTTTCATCTCTACGTAAGTTGAATTTTTTCACTGGAGAGCAGGATTGGCAAGTGCTTAGCCCAAACATTAATGTTATTTGAAGTTCTTCAGGTGTTGTGGGATCTGAAAAATTGAAGATGACTGGTTAGGAGTCCCAGGGACAAAATCTCGTCCCTTTGTTCCCTTTCCCAGGACTAGTTGACTCAGAATTAACTTCATAACCACTTAAGGAGGGGGTTTCTTAGAAGTTACAGGACTGGTAAAAGAAAAAAACAAAGAGTGACTTCACAAAGAGAAATTCTGCAGAGTAAGGCTAATCTAAAGTTTCGACAAACAATGGGCATTGTCAAGACTGCTGCCCTTGAGTCCAGGCCCTGTTGACTCTGCTGTGCAGGGCCCTCTCCAGCCAGCAGGCGTGCAGGGGACAGCAGGGCGTGGCCCGCAGCCAGCAGAAGGGGTGGGGTGAGGCAGAGGACAGGGAAAAGAAGGGTGTGGCCACCTGAACCCTGTGCTACCCTAGCAGAAGTGTCCGTCAAGGTGCAAGTGAAACACAGACTGCACAGACAAGCAAGAGGCCAGAGAATTCGTCTCTGACAGCTGCAGACTGAGAGGCAGGCTAAAGGGAAAGTAGTCAGGCAAAAGGAAATTACCCCAGATGTACACGCAAACATGAGAGAGGAGGAAAACACGGGGAGAATAGCATGGTCGGTGAGCTGCCCTGGACAGCGACGTACAGAGCGGCAGCTGCAATATCCCCGAGTTTCGGATACGAGTAAAACTCCATGTGTGATGACCACAACAGAAAGGCGAGGGTGTCCGCAGCACACGCGTGCAGCCCAGTTCAAAGGACGTGTGCCGGTGGTGTCTACGCGGAGCTCCTGAGTTAGCAGGACAGGGCAGGAACACCACAAAGCAAGCAGGAAGCCTTGAAGACGTTCACGTGAGTGCTCAGTAAACACAGCTAACGGGGCTCACGCCGTCGGCCATCATGGAACTCACACAGCGCGTCGCGGCCCACAACTGGGCAGCGTGAAGAGATGAAAGCTTCCGACCATCCGCCAGGACAGACAGCACAGGGCTCCTGACCGCCGAGCCAGTTTGGCAGGGATGGGAGTGTTGGCCAGGGTCTACTAACCCAAGATCTGCCCAGCATAAATGTGCGCAGAGGTTCACCAAATCCACGCCATAGCAACAGCTTGTCAACGACGGGGCGCGGATGTCGCTGTGGCCCCACAAGCCTGGGTCACCTAGCAACGTCATCATGGTCTTAGTTTGTGTAAGTGCTCCTCGCCGCTCACAGGACAACGACGTCGCCTAGCAACACGTGCTTCCGAGTGCACCTCGCCATGGAGCAGCACGTCCCAGTGCTAGAACGTTCGTGGCCACACAGACGCACGGCTGGGGCCACTGGTGTGCCCACCAACTGTAGACAGGGTGAGCGAGGCAGGCTGGGTCCCCCACAGTCAGGGCCACCCTCATGGGGCTCACAACGAACCCAGGAGCCAGACACAGAGAGTGTGCCCTATGCGAACCCCTTAGGAAGGCTCCAAAGGAGGCAAACAACACCCTGTTACCCCAGATCAGGGTGCTGGCTGAGGGAGCCCAGGGCCTGCGAGGCTGGGGCAGGTGGGAGCAGGTGTTGGTCTGGGCACAGTTTGCAGGGGGCTGCTTGCTTCCTGGACATGCAGCACACTCTCCACCTGACCCTCCTGCATCTCCGGTGGGCTTTGTGAGAGGTTTTCAGTGTGGTTAGTAGCCAGCTCTTCAGGGAAGCAGAGGAGCGAGGCTGTGGAGGAGTCAGAGCAGAGCTCACATCTGCATAGGACGGAGGACCGTGTGACCAGGAACTGTGCCGCCCGCCTGCCCACCTGCCCACCGGGGTTCTTCCGAACCCTTTCCCTCCATGGAGGGAGACTTCGCAGGAACCACTGTCTTCTGTCCAGATGAAACACTTCCTTGGAATTTAACAGTTCCTCCCAGTGAAGCCCAAATGGAATGAGACTTGATGTTGTGTGTTCAAGTAATGCATTATCGTGTTATTCCAGCCCGCTGTTCAACCACCTGCAGCCCTCTGTCTCTGCAATAAGGCTGGGCAGTCTCGCCTGGGAAAGTGGCTGCAGACCCCTCTGACGTCTTTCCCCACACTGCTCTGTTGATGTAATGACAAGCCTTTCTCGAGATGTGGAAGCTGCTCTTCTGTGCTCTGGCTTGGCATCAACCGCTGGGCCAGCAGGGGCAATTTCTTCACCTGTCTGAGTCTTGGTCTTCGTACCTGGAAAGTGCAGATGGTAATATTACCAGAGTCACAGGGTGTCCGTGAGGATTAAATTAGATAGCACAGCACAGCAAGGAAGGCCTTGATGTACTGCAGCTGCTCTCACTGCTGCGGGCATAAAGAAAAATAGAACAGCAAGAAGACAGCTCTGACCCTCTCGGAGATCAGGCTGGTGGAGGTGGGGGCTCCTGTCTGCACGGGTGGGCGGCTCTCACTGGCCGGGCAGCTTTGAGCCCAGGTTGCCCCAGCCTCTGGAACAGGAGACATCGGAGCTGCACTCAACATGGGGGGCTCAGGAGGGAGTCCCCAAGGATCCCCCAGCTGGGTCCTGCTGTCCTGGGCACACGACGGCCCCTCCTGTGGACCTACAGGCCCCTCTGGGAGCAGCAGCAGGGCTGCTTCGAGAGAGCCTTACCCCCCCCGCCGTGCCTGGTGCCCCTTCCTCCTCCCCTCCC